GAGTGAGGTAATTACAGGTTGCAAATGGCCGGGACATTCATATGCAAAGGCCTCTGCGGCAGCCTGGGTGGGCGGGGTCTCAGGGAATCCGCCGGTGGAGCAAGCGACTATGGCGGAGCCGCAGACCTGCCCTAAGGATACGCGCGTCTCAGTGTCCTGGTGAGGGCTGCAAGCACCTCTGAGGGAAAGCAGCCCCCAAGATCGCCTGCTGCCAGACCGTCCAGTTTCTCCCCGCTTGAGTCCCGGGTCCCCAGAGACTTCCCGGAACCGGAGTTCAGAGCCGTCGGGGGCTTGTGACTCCCTCCGGATTCAAAAGGACAGCCGCGTCCTCAGGTGCCGGCCCCTTTCCGCGCGCGAGCCCCGCGAGAGCCCCGTACCTCTGCGCTTCTCTCCTGCAGCTTCTGCGGGTCTCAGTGTGCCTTTCCTTCCTTCTAGTTGTAGAGTTTACAGTCAGCCAGGCTTCCTGTGGTTCTGGATGAAGTCCGTGTTGTTTCTCTGAGGTATTAATCAATTGTTGTGAGCGGCATTAACTTCCCGGTGTTTATCTCTGCCGCCATCTTAGTTTCTCCGGTCCCAAAACTTTTTAAATCTTCACCCAAGGACGTGCTTAGAGAGAGGAAGGGAGAGATGCCTTTGCACATGCCCCGGCCAGGGACCAAACCCACAACCCAAGTACGCGCCCTGACCGGGAATCAACCTGGAAACCCTTCAGTGCATAGGAAGACACTCAACCAACTGAGCCACTCTGGCCTGGCTGCCCCCAAATTTTTGATATGTGGTTCAACTTCCTGCTCCAGAATTGCATACTTTCCTTTCTTAAAAGAGCCTGAATGACAAGGGGCCAGCCTGGGCCTTAGATGCCACTTTTTGGATCTGTCCATAACCTTCAGGGACAACAATCCCTTCTCCCACTTCTGTTCCACTGGACTGTCACTTAGACTTTTCAACATGCCCAAATTGCTCCCTCCCGTTTTCAATAAAACCTGGTGTATAAGGGAATGACCTTATTCTTTAGAAATGCCCCTCATATATTGGTAAGGGGACATGATGTCTACAACATACTCTCAAAAGGTTCTAAAAATATGTACACACACACACACACACACACACACACACACACAAGTAAAGAAGAGGAGAGAACCTGGGGTTAAGCCTCAAGAAAGTCCAATTGAAGACAGAGGTTGAGATGCAGAACTTATTTATTTATTTACTTTTAAAAATATCTTTATTGATTTCAGAGAGGAAGGGAGAGGGGAAGAGATAGAAATATCAATGAGAGAGAATACTTGATCGGCTGCCTCCTGCACGCCCCCTACTGGGGATCAAGCCCACGACCCAGGCATGTGCCCTGAGTGGGAATCAAGCTGTGACCTCCTGGTTCATAGGTTGATGCTCAACCACTGAGCAGCACTGGCCAGGTGGAACTCATATATTTATATACATTAGCAAGAAATAATTAAATTGAAATTAAAAGAACACAATTCCATTTACAATAGCATCAAAAAATAACATATTTAGGAATATATTTAATAAAAATGTGTAAGGCATATACATGGAAAACTACAAAATAAATGTTGAAAGAGACTGAAGATCTAAATGAATAGAAAGACATCCTATGTTCATAGACTTAATATTTTGTTGCCCAAATTGATCTATAGATCAATGCAATTCTTATCAAAATCTCAGTTGCCTTTCTTTTTTGTACACATTTGACAAAATTTTCAAAAATACATATGGAAATGCAATACCCAGAATGGCCGAAACAATTATGAAAAAGAAGAACAAAATTGGAAGACTCATATTTTTAAATTTCAAAACTTACTGAAAAGCTACAATAATCAAAATTGTATAGTACTGGCAAAAGATTGAACATATAGATCAATGGAATAGAATTGAGAGTCCAGTTGTAAAATCTTAGATTTATGGTCAATTGATTTTCTTTTTTTTAAAATTGAAGTATAGGTGATATACAATATTATATGTGCTTCAGGTGTACAACATAGTGATTCAATATTTATATATCTTATGAAATTGTCACCACAATAAGTCTTATAACCATCTATTACCATACAAAGTAATTACAATATTATTGACTATATTCCCTGTGCTTTACCTTATATCCTGGTGACTTATTTATTTTATAACTGAAAGTTTGTATCTATTAATGCGCTTCACATATTTTTCCAATCCTCCCACGCCCCCTCACCTTTGGCAGTCATCAGTTTGTTCTCTGTATCTATGAGTCTATTTCTGTCTTGTTTTGCTTTTTTATTTTAGATTCCATATATAAGTGAAATAATATGGTATTTTTTTCTGATTTATTTCATTTAGTATAATACCCTCTAGATTCATCCATGTTGTCAAAAATGGCAAGATTTCATTCTTTTTTCTTTTTTAATATATTTTTATTGTTTCAGAGAAGAAGGGAGAGGGAGAGAGAGATAGAAACATCAATGATGAGAATCATTGATCCGCTGCCTCCTGCAATCCCCACACTGGGGATCGAGCCACTACCCAGGCATGTGCCCGGCCCAGGAATTAAACCGTGACCTCCTGGTTCATAGGTCAATACTCAACCACTGAGCCTGCTGGCTGGGCCAAGATTTAATTCTTTTTATGGCTGAGTAATAGTCCATCTCTGTATCTATGAGTCTATTTCTGTCTTGTTTTGCTTTTTTATTTTAGATTCCATATATAAGTGAAATAATATGGTATTTTTTTCTGATTTATTTCATTTAGTATAATACCCTCTAGATTCATCCATGTTGTCAAAAATGGCAAGATTTCATTCTTTTTTCTTTTTTCACAGAGGCAGGAGAGGCTCCTGCCACCACTGCTGCACTTGCCAGCCATGAGCCCAGCTCAGGGCTTCTGGCAGAGCGGCGCTCCCCCTGTGGGAGTGAACTGACCACCAGGGGGCAGCTCCTGTGTTGAGCATCTGCCCTCTGGTGGTCAGTGCGCATCATAGCAACCAGTTGTTCTGTTGATTTGCATATTAGCCTTTTATTATATAGGATACCACATGTTCTTTATCCATTTATCTATTGATGAACACAGGTTGCTTTTGTATCTTGACAATTGTAAATAATGTTTCAATAAACATAGGGTATGTCATTTTAATTAGTGTTTTTGTTTTCTTTGGATAAATTCCCAGAAGTGGAATTGCTAAATTGTTCATTTTCTGTTGTTGTTTGTTTTGTTTTGTTTTTTGTTAATCCTCACCCGAGGATATTTTTCCATTGATCTTTTAGAGTGGAAGAGAGGGAAAGACAGAGAGAAACATCGAAGAGAGAAATACATCGACTGGTTGTCTCCTGCATGAGCTCTGACCAGGGCCCAGGCCAGGGGAGGAGCCTGCAACTATGTGTCCTTGACAGGAATGGAATCTGGGACCCTTTGGCCCAGAGGCCAACATTCTATCCACTGGGCCATAACAGCTAGGGCTGAATCGTTCATTTTTTGAGGAACCTCCATACTGTTTTCCATAGTGGCCACACCACTTTACATTCCCACCAACAGTGCATGAGAGCTCCCTTTTCTCCACATCCTCACCAACACTTGGTATTTATTATCTTTTTTTTATTTTTATATATTTTATTGATTTTTTACAGAGAGGAAGAGAGAGGGATAGAGAGCTAGAAACATCAATAAGAGAGAAACATTGATCAGCTGCCTCCTGCACACCCCCTACTGGGAATGTGCCCGCAACCAAGGTACATGCCCTTGACTGGAACCAACCCTGGGACCCTTCAGTCCTCAGGCCAACACTCTATCCACTGAGCCAAACCAGTCAGGGCTATTGTCTTTTTGATAATAGCTACTCTAACAGGTCTGAGCTGATATCTGATTGTGTTTTGATTTGCATTTCCCTGATGATTAGTGATGTTGGGCATCTTTTCATGTGTCTGTAGCCATCTGTATGTCTTCTATAGAAATATGTCTATTCATCAACGATTTTCCACAGGGTGCCAAGACAGTTCTACAGGGAAAAGACTGCCTTTCAACATTTCAACACTGAGATAACTGGATAGTCACTTAAAAAAAAAATGTAAAATGCTGCAGGCACTTTGGAAAACAGTTTGGCAGTGTCTCAAAGGATAAATAGATACACTTTATCCAGGCAATTTCACTTGTAGGTACATGCTCAAGAAATAAAAACATATGTTCACACAAACCTTCACAAATATTAATTGCAGTTTTATTCATAATAGACAGAAAGTGAAAACAATCCAAATGTCTATCAACTGATGAATGGATAAATAAAATTTGGTATATGCATACTTGGAATATTTTTCAGCAATAAAGGAATGAGGTTCTGACACATGCTACAAGGACAAATTTTGAAAACATTAATTTTAAAAAGCTAGTGGTTTAAAAAAAAAGGACAACAGGCTCAAATAAACTCACAAAACTTTTCTATAGTCACATGTCACCAAACCTTTAAAAACGTGAATTTTATTTTATGTGAATTATAGCTCAACAAAGCTGGTGTTTTTTTGTTTTTTAAAGAAGAAAAACCTAAGCTCATGCAGACACACTGCCTGCAGACTCCGGGGATCGCCAAAGCTAAGGCTGCTGAAGCTGCAGAGGCCGCATCCTGGGGTGGAGGAGGGGTGCATGGCAGGAAATTGGAAGTGTGCCAGGGGAAGCGGCCATAACTTCCCAATTGTGAGATAATGATCTAACGCATTGTGGGACACCCCCTCCCCTCTTTACCCCCAGTCCCAAGGCACTCCTGAATCAACTCAGACACCCGCCCAAAATATTCGTCAATTACACTCACCATCAGGCAGCGGCGGCAAGCTGGAATCCGGAAGCGGAAGAGCCATGTTTGTTAAGGGAAAAGTGAGTTTAAAAGGAAGTCGCTGGAGCCATCTTTGCTGAGGGCAAGCAAGGGCAATGGAAGGTAGCTGTGGCCATCTTGGCTAAGGGCATTCGCCCAAGCTTTCCAAGGCGCATGGCTAGTTTGGGCAATTTCTAGAGAAGGTTTATTAATAAAATGCGCTTGGTGGACACTACAGAGAACAGAAAAACTATTTAAAAATTTTAAAAATGTGAATGTTTGCATTAAAAAACTAAAGTAGAGAGAAGTGAACAAAGAATGAAAATAGTTTAACAGTTTTTTTTTTAATCCTCACCCAAGCATGGCAGGGATTGGATTACAGGACAATTAACAAGATTATGTGCTCTCTCAAGGGTGGTTACCCTTCGGATGGATCTGAAAGAGGCATTTCAGCCCTAACCGATTTGGCTCAGTGGATAGAGCCTCAGCCTGCAGACTGAAAGAGGCATTTCAAAGGTGTGTTAACTTAGATGCATAGAAACAATGGACAGGGCTTCCTTAAACTGAAGACAATCCTCCCTAACCGGTTTGGCTCAGCGGATAGAGTCCGCCTGTGGACTGAAGGGCCCCAGGTTCGATTCCAGTCAAGGGCATGTACCTTGGTTGAGGGCACATCCCCAGTGGGAGGTGTGCAGGAGGCAGCTGATCGATGTTTCTCTCTCATCGATGTTTCTCGCTATCCCTCTCCCTTCCTCTCTGTAAACAAATCAATAAAATATATGTAAAAAATAAAATAAACTGAAGACAATCCTTTCACAGGCCTGAGCATGACTATCCACCCTGACTTGCCCAGTTAGGAATTTATGATCAGATCATCTTGTGAGGTTACTTTTGGTTAGATTAATTATATTTTCATACAGAGTGTTTATATTGAACATAAACTTGGACCTTAGTATCTGAAATCAACACTTGCACAATGGTAGGCAAATGGTGAAGATGCTAAAAAAAAAAATGGTTTGATGGACATCCCTCAATATTAGGGAAAAACATCCAAAACCATCCTGGATTGTCTGTACTCAATGATGGATTAACAAACAGCTTGAATATGGAGTTAGGAGAGTGAGCTTTAATCCCAGCTCTCTTACTAATCAATTTTATGACAGTAGCCTTTTAACCTCTGTGAGCCTTATTTTTTTTTCATCTGTAAAAAGGGAACAATAAATGCCTTCCAGGACTACTTAAAAAACCCTGCTTGATGGAATAAGTGATGGATTGGTGGCCAGCAATTATAAAATCACTTCTCTCACAAATTTAGGATGTGAATGTTAGATTTAATGAAAGTATTCCATGTCACCAGCAAACAAATGCAACTTGAAGACTCTAGCTACAGACACTGATAATGCGTCTGAATACTAAAAAAATAATTTGGTTATTACCAATTTATTGGAATGTGATGCCTCAAATCTCCTGGGAACTACTACAAAGCTTAGAAATCAGCAGGTACAATGTGGTAATGAAGAGTTTTATATACTTACCAGAGGCCCGGTGCACGAATTCATGCATGGGTGGCCTGTAGGAGTCAGGCCAAAACCTGCAGTCCAAGGCCACCTGCAGCTCCTGCCTGCCACTTCCTCTCATCCTGGCCCCACTGTGTCTGCTGTGGGCTCATGTCCAATCAGTCCTGATCTGAGGGGCTCGCACTGCCACAGCAGCACTCACCAGCCATGAGCCCTATTCTGGCACCCTCCCAAGGGGAGTGGCCTGCAAGATGGGGCTGAAACCAGCTCTCCGACATCCCTTGGGAGGTCCCAGATTGTGAGAGGGCTCAGGCCAGGCTGAGAGACCCCACTGGTGCACAATCTGGTCAGGGAGGGATTGAAGGAGGATGTGTCTGGCCCATCTTGCTCAGTCCCAATTGGCCAGACCCCAGCAGCAAGCTAACCCTGGTGGTCAGTGCAAGTCATAGCGAGTGGTTAAGCAGCCTTAGCATATCATTAGCATATTATGCTTTGATTGGTTGTTCTGCCATTCAGTCTATTTGCATATTACCCTTTTATTATATAGGATATTCTACTGCTTCGAAGAATTATTAAAACAACAATAATCTTTTTGTATCTGTGGGTCAGTTGTTATCTTTTGTAGTTTTTGTGGGTCAGTTATTGGGCAGTGGCTTGGCTAGATGGATGGTCCTGGCTCAGTGTCTTTCATGAGGAGACAGGCTAATATTGGCTGAGGCTGCAATCCTCTGGCAACTTGGGTGGGAGTTGGGAGACTACTTTCAAAGTGACACACTCATGGCTAGCAAGTTTGTGTTGGCTGTGGGTGGGAGGCCTCAGTTCCTCTCCATATTGGCCTCTCCACAGGGCTATATGCATGTCCTTATAGCAGGTGCCTGGATTCCTCAGCGCTGGCGTGGCAACTTTATTTCTGTAAAAGATCAGGTAGTAAATTTTTTTAAGCTTTGTGGGCCACATCCAGTCTTTGTCACTTATTCTTCTTTTAAAAAAACATATTTTAAAATATGTAAAAATCAATCATTGCCCTACCCCTGTGGTCGGCAAACCGCGGCTCTCGAGCCACATGCGGCTCTTTGGCCCCTTGAGTGTGGCTCTTCCACAAAATACCATGTGCGGGTGCGCACGTACAGTGCGATTGAAACTTCATGGCCCATGAACAGAAGTCAGTATTTTGTGGAAGAGCCACATTCAAGGGGCCAAAGAGCTGCATGTGACTTGCGAGCCACAGTTTGCCAAGCCACAGTTTGCCGACCACTGCCCTAGCCAGTATGGCTCAGTGAACAGAGCGTTAGCTCTGTCCCAGGTTCGATTCCGTTCAAGGGCATGTACCTTGGTTGCAGTCACATCCCCAGTAGGAGGTGTGCAGGAGGCAGCTGATCAATGATTCTCTCTCATCATTGATGGTTCTCTCTCTCTCCCTTCCTCTCTAAAATAAATAACAATATATTTTTTTAAAAAAAGAAAGAAAGAAACTAACTATCCCTGGCCGGTGTGACTCAGTTGGTTGAGCATCGCCCCATGCACTGAAAGGTCACTGGTTGGATTCCTGGTCAGGGCACATACCTGGGGTGCACATAAGGAGGGTGTATATTAATGTTTCTCTCTCTCTCAACCCCTTCTTCTTTCTCTAAAAATCAATAAAAACATATTTAAAATAAATAAGTAAATAAAATAAAAATGAAACTAACCATTGCAACACCCTGATTGCTCCTGTTTCTAAAACACACGACTGCAGACACAGCTAACTCTCACAGCCAATTGGCCTGGAGGTCAAATCCCCCCAGTATTAACTACAACAATCAAGGCTTAACTACAATAAGACTGCGCACAAAGACCACTAGGGGGTGCACCAAGAAATAATAAAAAATGTGGAGACAAAGAAACAGGACAAAATTGTCAATGGAAGATATAGAGTTCAGAACCACACTTTTCAGGGCTCTCAAGAACTGTCTAGAAGCCGCCGATAAACTTAATGAGATCTACAAGAACT